AGGCTTCTGAGATTTCCTCATGTTTAACAGGTCTGGAGCAGGCTTCTGAGATTTCCTCATGTTTGACAAGCTTCCAGGTGCTATTGCTGCAGCTGGTCCATGGACCGCACTTTGAATAGTGAGGCTTCAGGAAATTCAAAACCTGTGGCTTGGTTCCTTACTTCTTCTATGATCTCGTTAAATTACTGATTCTGAACTATGGCTGCACACTAGAATCATGTGGGGAAGTTAAAAAAAATATTAATGACTGGGTCCCATCCCCAGAGATTCCGACATAATGGGTTTGTGGTGTGGCCTTGGCCTTGGAATTTGTTAAAGGTCCCCAGTGATTCTGATGAACAGCCAATTTTAAGAACCACAACCCAAAAGAAAGGAAGAAATTAAAGAGATGTTTTGAAGATGATATCAGGAGGGGATATCTACCCATGATTTTTAGGGAAAATAAAGTGAAGAATGATGTCAAGGTTAAAAATATATGAATTAGGACAGACATAGGAATGAATGACTGTCAGGGTTTGGGGAGAATGTGAGTTTGATTTTGTTGAAAGGTGGCGGCGGGGGGTGTTAAGTCAGTGAAGATGGCCGTATGGTGCAGGAGTGGTGAAGTGTTCTTCACCCAACTTAAACATTTATCATTGTTGTTGTTAAGTGCCGTTGAGTCGATTCCGACCCATAGCAACCCTGTGTAGGGTTTCCAAGGAGCAGTTGGTGAGCTTGAACCACCGACCTTGCAGTGCAAATGGCTTTGCAGTCTGACACATTAGCCCACAGCGCCACACCAGGACTCCATTTATCATATCAACCTGAATAACCAAAGTTAATGAGTTGACCACATGCTTATTTGGAAAATTGATGTTTAATTATTTTGTTTGAACATTATGGCAACTTGACCCAAGAATGGACTTGGTACCAAGTAACTGAGACCAGTTAATTTGTGAAACATCATAGGCTATGTATGGTGGCCTTATTCATTGACTAAGTCAGATCGTAGAAGAACTGGTGTATTTGAATTACGGTATTGGACAAGAATACTAAAAGCACCAGGGACTACCAGAGAGCAAACAGATCTGTGTTGGAAAAAGTACAGCCAGACGCTCCTTAGAAATTGCGATGGTGAGACTTCTTCTCTCTTACTTCGGACATGTTATCAGGAGGGACCAGTCCCTGGACAAGAACATCATGTTTTGTAGAGTAGAGGGTCAGTGAAAAGAGGAAGAACCTCAACAAAATGAACAGACACAGTGACAGCAGCAGTAGACTTAAGGTAACACTTGTGAGGGTGGGGCAGCACCAGGCAGTGTTTCATTCATTTGTGCATAAGATCGCTATGAGTGGAAACAAACAAGTTATGGTGGTATGGTGCCCCACTATGTGGGACCCAGCAGTGGATGATGAACATGTTAATCACGCTCTGCACAACTCTTCATATATTTGCCCCAATATTTCCATGAAGGATGAGGATTTGCTCAAAGATACATACTTTGTTCTCAGAAACTTGATTACTAGAAAGAACCTAAGAACTACTGTGGGCCCCAAGTTTATTTCTTAATAAATTTTTAATAATGTCTAAATTTCTATTTACTTCCTTTGGTTAGAATTCAATTAGATATCCATTTCAAGCTTTTGTTCCTTCTCATGACAGAAAACAGGACCATGATCAGTTCTGGTTAAACTCAGTCATTCCAGTTGCAAATCTCATATTCCAACGTTCCCCCTCTTCTTTCTTCTCCGTAAGGGCATCTAAGTTGTTGGTTGGCACCTACACTGCATCATGGCATGTTTTCTGGAATATCCTGCTGCCACCTGGCTCCCAACAGGAGGGTCCTCTGGCACTGTCTGACTCCAATGCCACCATTTGGTTGACCACTTCTATGCCACACTGCACAAGAAGTTCAGACGTGCTTCCTGCAGGAGTTTATACAGTAACTGAGGCATGTATGTGATTGTCTTTCTTCTTGGAGTCCCTACTTTAATGGGGACTTATAATCCCCACTCAACCTCTTTGAACTATTTACTAGAAGACAATATGCCAGGTCCAGGATCACTTCTTGGAGACCCTTGGCAACATT